AACGATGAAGCCATTCGGGTGGAGCAAGTAATTGCTCCCGGAGCCAGCCAGGCAAACCCGCTTCTTCCTCGCGATGCGAAGGCGCAGGCACGGCCCAGCCCTGGCACCTAAAGCGGCCGAACCGGAGCTGGGAGCTTCGTGCCCACCCACGGGGAACACCCCAAGAGACGGTGGGATTGGGGTGAAAGCGCTTCCCGAAGCTACGGCTCGCTCCCCGACGCGCCCCGTCGGAAAGACAGCGGGACGGCACTGGAGCGAGGGGGGAACCTCCCCCCCTCAAATCAAACACCAAGTCCAACAAGGCTGCCGAAGCCTGGCTGAGGATCAGAGATGGGTGAAAGCATGCAGGCATGGCACTGCAGTGAGCAAAGCCTGAAGAGTGGGATTTAGGGCAAAAAAAATCTTAATAACCCCACCCCTGCTGCTACGCAATAGCTCATTTCCACCAGTACAACCCAAGCGTGGCACCCGGGGGGGGGGGCACGGGAAGGGGCCACAAGCTCCAGGAGTGACCAATGTGGCCCCATCCCACCCCAAACCCACCGCCCCGGGGGGCTGCCGGTGCCTGTCCCACAGGAGCCTGCGCAGGGCAGGGCCCAAGCAAGGCGGAGCTCTGGGAAAAATCAGAAAAACTACAGCAAACGCCCAGAGGACAGCTTGGGTTTCTGCAACTAATAGACTCGAGCAGGCGCTTTCCAAGGAAATTCAATAAAAAGCTGGTGTGGGACTGGGACGCCGGGGCAGCAAGCGACAGAGCCCCAGAGGGCCTGCTTTGTTTTGCTCAAAACCAGAAACATTTGAAAAAATCCAGAAATCTGCCCTTTTTGGTTTTGTTTTGGGTGGATTTTTTTTTTTTTAGTTTCTTTGAACAATAACAACAACAAAAAGAAAAAAATGAAGCATTTTCATGAGCAGATGAGAAACTTTGAAAGAAAATGAGAAATTAATCTTTTGGTGCAAAACATCTTTATCTGGGGTAAAAAAAAAAATGTTTCTTTTAAGGCTTTTTCTTTTTTGTGGCTCCTTTGCACGTACAGGATGTCTGCATGCAAATCTGCAAACAGTTGCATTTAGAGGAGCAAAGACCCTTTTATTTTTACCTTGGAGGGGGTTGCATTTGTTTCTGGCCCCCTCCCAGTGCAGGACAGTGTCCCAGTATTGGACACCTGAGTGATGGTGGCACCAACTCCTGCCCAGCCTCCCCTGCCTGCAGCCCCACAGTGCTTGGGACACCCAGGGGTGCTCAGGAGCCCGAGAGGGGTGGCAGCACCCTCGTGCAGGCAGCCAGACCCCAATATTTCGGAGGCTGCGTTGTGGGGGTTGCAGCATACAACAGCTTCCCGCCTCCTGTTACACCTCGGGGCAAACTCCTTGGGAACAGGCAGAAAGAATTAAAGGCAAAAAAGAAAAAAGTGTGTGTGTGTGTGCCCCATCCCTGCCTGCCTCCAAGCAAAGAGCCCCTGAGCTGCTGGCTCCTGTGGCCAAGCTGGGACACAGACACGAAGCGGGGACAGGGAGGGGGGGTCCTGATGGGGAGGGAAAGAAGGGAGGTGGGAGTGAGCAGAGTCAAACCCGAGGGAAAGGTGTTTCTTCTGGAGATGGATTTGCCTCAAGCATCTTTCTATGGGTTTGCTCCCCATCAGGAAAGGCCCTCTCCTGCTGTCCCTGTTCCCTTTCCTCTTCCTTCCATGAAGGGAAGACAAAAACAATCTCATCAGCCAAAGGGCTTTCTGGTTTTCTCCTGTTTTCTGTTAATTCTTAAAAAAAAATAATTATACCCCACATACTCCACACAGACAATTGCCTCTTCTCTCTGAGGCTCCTCTGCAACTACCTGTCACTATTTCAAGGGTTTGGTTTGCAAGATGCCCGTCCCTCCTGGGCAGGAGGAGGCTGCGATGGCACCAGGCCCATCTCCAGAGATGCCAAGGAACAAACTTCAGGAAACGGGCTTTGTCTCAGGCTGGGAAATAGGACCAAGCATGGCAATGCCAACCCAACCCTGCCCATGACGCGCTAACTCGGGCCAAACCACCCTGGCACCTCAGTTTCCCCATTTATCTCGCCGGCTCGGCGTTACCAAACGAGCTGGTCTAATTTGCAAAGCATCGGAAAGGGAGTCGAGCAAAAATTCCCAGGCTCCGTGGTGCGTGACAGAGCCCCTGGACGCTGCCCAAGCAATAATGGCCCTGCACCGAAACGTCACGAGGCCAAACGAGCACGAAAGACAAACCGGACCCTGTCCATTCATTGCTCATCAAGAAAACAGAAAAGAAAGAAAGAAAGAAAGGAAGAAGTGATGTGTGCAGGAATTCAAAGCTCAAGACATGCAACCGGAAAGCTGCTCTCTGAGACAGGACAGGGATAGCCTCTCAGCATGAAATTTGGTCCCTGGAGCCCGGGCAGATGGAAATTGAGGGTGTCCTGGAAACCCCCCTTGCCTTCCCCCCCCTTCCCAGCTTTGCATGCTGCCAAAGAGGGGTCTAAAAGAGGCAAATTTGGTTCAGTTCTGCTCGGGTTCACCCACCCCGGATCCACGCTCCCCTCCCTGAGTTGCTGTGGAAGAGGAGGTGGGTCAGGGGCTGGTTTGGGGTGGAGGTGACACCCCCCCCACCCTGGGCACACCACTGCTCCTGCTCAGGACCCCAGTACAACTGGGATGCTGAACCTACACAGCAGCAGCTGGGAACCTGGAAGAGCTGAGAGACCCTTTTTTCCAACACATTTAACAGATTTATAAACTCCTCCTTAAAATAACCCACCTTTGATCTTAGAATAGCCAGTGCACAGCAGTCCTCCTAACCCAGGCTGGTGGCAGGTTCCCGTGCAAAAGTTTTTTTGCACCAGGTTCGTGCATTAAACGTTCACCGTTTCCCACCTGGAAAGGGAAGCCAATGGAAGGAAATCCAGAAAAATAAGCTCTGCACAGCCCCTGCAGCTGCCTGGGCCCCGGGACGCGGCTGCAGCACAAAGCAGCGTAAGAGTTCAGCCGGGAAGCGGAGCCTGCAGCATCCAGCTGGAAAAGCAGAGGGAAGAGAACAAGAGGATGTATTCTCCGAAACTTGGGCCCAGCTGTGCCCCGGGCCAAAGCCAACAAGGAGAGAGATCCAGCTGTGCTAAGCTCGGTTTCTGTGCATCACCGTGCCCGGTGCTCCCGCGGCACAGCTCCTGCCTGCTGCCCAGCAGCTGCTTTCGGAGCATGCGGGGAGCTGGTCCCGGGCTGGATTTGGCCCCTTTTGTGTCTGGTCTGACAGCACACACGACGGGGTGTTTCACCTCTCGCCATCAGCTTCCTGCTCCGGCATTTTTTTTTTTTTCTCTCTCTCATCGGGACTTTTACTGCAGTTTCCGCACGTGAAGCTCGTCGGGGACTGACGGCCACGGGACACCAGCACAGGCCCCCACGACCCGGGCAGAGCCACCGCACTGCCCGGACAACCCAGGGGTTCAGCTTTGTCCCGTGGAAAAAAAGTGAGGATTCCCCAAACTTTTCCATCCACTTCTCCACGGCCTGATCCCACTTCCCCGCATCCCACTCGAAAACCCCAGGGAGTCGCTGCGGGGTGGGGAAGGGACCCCCCCCCCAGCTCCCAGCCCCTTGCACCCACCCTGGGGTGGGGGGGGAGGTGTTTTTAACCCCTTCAGCTTGTGCTGGCTGTGCACCCCGGCTGCCCTGCGTGCTTGGCCGAGTGACAAAAACTGCTGCAAAGTTTGGGCTGGATCTGCTGTGCTCGCACCGCGCCACGCACACGGGCACACGCGCACGCCCCGCTGTGCACAGCCACGCACACGCACACTTGGGCGTTCCTGGACACGCATTCAAGCACACACCCCCCCCCACCTACCCCCCCACCCCACCCCAGCCACGCACACATGCCGCCATACATCCCTCCCCTGCGCCGTGCTTACACGCACCCCCTCCTGGCACACCCCCCCCCTGCTAGCCACCCACAGCCCCCCCCCCCCAATGCACCCTCACGGGGCACCCCGCAAACCGAGCACCCACCCCCACCCAAGCTGTGCACCCCCCAACCCTGTATACACAGACACACATCTATATATATATATATATACATCCCCCAGCCATGCACCCCCCAACTTCCCTCCCAGCTGTGCACACACACACACATATACATACACATATACATCCCCCAGATGTGCACCCCCCCATACCCCTCAAACCACGCACCCCTCCAGCCCTGCACACACACATACATATATTCCCCAGCCCTGCACACACACACGTATATATGTATAGATATACACATCCCCCAGCCCTGTACATACACACACACATATATAGATATATACATCCCCAAGCCCCCCTCAGCCCTGCACGCACACACACATATAGGCGTATACATCCCCCAGCCATGCACCCCCAACCCTGCACACACACACATATAGATATATACCTCCCTGAGCCGTGCAGCCCCCCTAAGCCCCCCTAGCCCTGCACAGACACACACACATATAGATATATACATCCCCCAGCCCCGCACACACACACACATAGATATATACATCCCCCAGCTGTGCAGCCCCCCTAGCCCTGCACACACACATATACATCCCCCAACCGTGCAGCCCCTCCAGCCCTCCACACACACATATAGATATATACCTCCCTGAGCCATGCAGCCCCCCAAGCCCCCCTAGCCCTGCACACAGACACACACACATATAGATATATACATCCCCCAGCTGTGCAGCCCCCCTAGCCCTGCACACACACATATAGATATATACACCCCCCAACCGTGCAGCCCCTCCAGCCCTCCACACACGCATATAGATGATATATACATCCCCCAGCCCCGCACACACACACACACACACACATATATAGAGATATACACATACCCCAGCCGTACACCCCCCCCCCCATATAGATATACACGTCCCCCAGCCGCACCGCCCCCCCAGCCCTGCACACACACACATATAGACACGCACCCCCCGCCCCAGCCGTGCCCCCCCCCCCCCCCCCCCCCCGGTACCTGTCGGTGGGGCCGGCTCGGCTCGGCGGGGCTCCGGGCGGCTCGGCCGGTGGCTGCCGACCTGGGACATCGGAGAGGGGGCGCGACGGCTGCGGCAGGGAGAGAGGGGGGGAGAGAAGGGGGAGAGAAGGCAGAGTTGGGGTGGGGGGGGGGGGGAGAGAAGGGAGAGAGGGGGGAGAGAAGGGAGAGGAGAGCGGGCCCCGCCGCCCCGGGGCCGCGCTCACCTGGGGCCCCGCGGGCCGCCGCGCCCGCCCCCGCCGCGCATCCCCCGGCCCGGCCCCGCTCACCGCCCCGCCGGCCTATAACGAGCCGCCCGGGGGCGCGGGCTCGGGGTTGGCTTGTTTGTTTGGTTTCTGTTTTGTTTTGTTTTTTTCCCCCTAATTCCTTCAAAAAAAAAAAAAAAAATTAAAAAAAAAAAAAATGCTGCGAGAACAACCAACCAACCGCCCGCGGCCGCAGCGCTCCGCGCAGCAGGAGGGGGAGGAAAAGTTTCTTTTGGGGGCTGGAGCAGAGCCGGGGAGGGGAGAGGCGCGGGGCAGGCAGAGGTTGCTTGGCTCCCAGGGCCAGCCTCGAAATTGGGATTTCGCAGCTTTGCTGCGCTTTCGACTCAGCGTTGGGTTCCCCTCTCCGCCCCCTCACCCGAAAATTTTGCGAGGGGGTGTAGCGGGGATTAGTGAGTTTGGGACCCCCCCCGCCGAGCTGTGCTCAGACCCCTCGGGTGGGTGCTCCTGCATGTCCCCTCTGCGCCCAGCGAGGAAGCAAAGAGGGTGCTTTTGTTCCCAACTCCGCTGGAGCGTCCTGGGGAAAGCTTCTTCCCACACACTCCCCCCCCCCGCCTCAGTTTCCCTAATTGGTAAATGAGGTTCGGCTGCTTGGGGCGATGCCTGGAGGTGCTGGGATCGGAGGTGACAGCGTCACTGCTGTCATCAGCCCCGAGAGGGACAACATAAACCCGAGGTTTCCAGCAGTAGCAGCTCTTCCCAAATGGGCCAACCGGGGGTTTGCTGCGTTTGCTCCGGCGCTGTGTCCCTGCAGGGTCCCCACGAGGATTCATCCTTGTGCAGAATGTCCTGTAGGACCCAGCGGGACATTTTGAAAGTTTTTTTTTTGTTGTTGCTGTTGTTGTTGTTTTTATTTTTTATAACACTGCTGTGTTTTCCTGCATTTAAAAATTTTAAAAGTGTACAAAAAGAGGCAGCAATCGCTCTGGAGCTCGGCTGGAGCCACGCAGCCACCAGCTCAAGCCCAGAGCTGAACCAGCTGCCCCCCCCCCCCCCCGCCCTCCCCAGCACAGAGCTGGAGGGGGGGGGTGTGTGTGTCACCACAAGCTGGCACTTCCCTCAGTCACCACTTCCCAGCCATGCTGGGGGTCCGGGTGACAGCTCGATTTTGCAATCCAGAGCTACGGCTCCGGGTTCCCAGAACAGGGCTGACTGAACCCACGGGACAGCCCCGGGTGACTCTCCACGTCCCGCTGCTCTCCTGCCGGGGCGATGCCATAACCCTGCTGCCATCGGGGCTGTCTCCTCCGCTGCGGTGCGGCATTTAGCGTGGCAGGGGACGAGGGGAAGGTGCTGAGATGTCATCGCTGCGGCCACACGTAAAGGAAACAGGTTGGGAGGGGGGAAATGAGGCAGCCTGGGGCACAAAGCGGGACTGGAGGGACCCGACGTGCTCAGGATCCTTCTGAAAGCTCCAGCCTGAAGCCAGGGTGATGGAGAGGATCGTACAAGAGCTGAAGAATCGGTGTGTTTTAAAGCCAACTTGTTGATTTTGTTTGTGCCTTTTAAATAACCCTTCCAGGAGGAACATTCCTGCCTGCACCCTACAGCGGCCCTAAAATCCCAGTGCTGGAGCTGCGTCCTCCTCTGAGAGCCAGCCAGCACCATCCTGCCCACCCTGCACGTCACAGAAAGCAGGGACCCCTACACAGACAGAACCCTGAGTACTCCCTGCCCGGGCAGCAGTGGGTGCGTGGGGTGCAACACAGGGTGCAGATGTGGGGTGCAGCACGGGGTGCAGCCATGCAGGGCCACGCACCCTCCTCCCCGGCCGCAGCGCTCCTGCCACAGCCAGCCTTCCTCTGTGCATCGTTTTTACTGAGGGTGAAGCACCGGTTGGCACCGCGACACCCCATCCCCAGGGGGGCCACCCCGGCGCAGGTCACCCCGCCAGGAGCCAGCGGCTGGATCATTTCCTTCACCCGACACCGCTCCGCTGCCCGCAGCCCCAGCAGGACCCAGCCAGCTTTCCACAAAGGTTCATTAAAAGCAGCGTCCAAGCACAGAGCTGGCCGGGCTGGTGACGGCGAGTGGGGCCGTGGGGTGTGCCGGCATCGCCGGCCTCTGAGGCAGTGTCTGTGAGTCACACCGGGAACACGCCAGCCCCACGCGCTGCCGCCGCACATTCCTCCCTGTTTACCTGCTCAGACACCCATGAGCCCGGCCCTGCCAGGGCAGAGGCACCTTCGCTCCTCCCGGGCGGCCCCCGGGGACGTGGACACACCGGACAAAGGTGCTTGATGCAAGAAGGACCCAGCAGCCCTGGGATTGCCTTGAACCTGGGGAAGGAGGAGGGTGGATGCCTGGGCGGGTGATGCTCTGCCTGGGGGAGGACAGAGCTGGGATCCCCGGTGCCGTGTGCTCGGCTCAGGCCATGAGGCTGCACAGCCGGGTGGGGATTAGCAGCACTTTTCCTCTGTGCTGACAACTCGGCTTGATAACGCACCAAAAAAAAAAAAAAAAAAAGTACTTGGGAGGCTGAGTCACTGCTTTGGTGGCCCAGGATGTCCCCCCTGTGCTCCCCTGGCTTTGCGGGGGGAAAGGAGCTTCCCAGGGCACTCGGGCTGGCAGACACCCAGGCACGGCGGGAGCTGTGCCACGCAGGAAGGTGCTTTGTAGGTTTTTTGGGCCCGGAGAACAGCAGGGCTTTACCCACAGTAACACCGGGGCTGTGGTGCTGCCTGCCCCATGGGCCATCCTGCTGAGCCTCCCACACCCCGAGCGGGGACACCCCCGGCCTCAGTGGCACAGCACTGCTCCCCCTCCAGAGGAAAAGGATTACACCAAAAGGATTCCACCTTGCAAAACAAGTCTGGGCTCTCCTTTTTTTCCCCGCCAGCCCTGTCCCTTTGCTGTAAGGCATGCTGCCCCTGTACCTGCTCCTGGTGCCCCAGGGCTCTGCACTCTCCCTGCAAGCCTGGGCAGGATATGTCCCATCTCGGCACAGCATGATGATGCCTGCCAAGCCGGCCTGCCTTCTGCTGCCTGGACCCCGACTTACCCCCCCTCTGCTGTCCCCCTGCCACCTCCTCGCTGCCTCCTCCCTTTGGGGTTTCTCTCCTGCCGCCATCCCACGTTCATTCAGATGCAGGAGGCAAAATTTGGCGAGCGCAGACCGAGGGCAGCCACGGCCCAGCCCTCCCCGACCTCTCCGTAGCACGCTGTGCCGCGGGGACAGTTCGAGCACGTCACTGGCAGCATCCGGAGGGGCGAGCGGCTCAGCCGGCCTCGCCGCCGCTCGCCCACGAAGGTCCCCGAAAAAAAAAAACGTGCCGGTGCTTTGCGCTGCTGTTGCCCCACAGCGATGAACCAGAGTCCAACACCCTCCGTCACTGTGGGGCTGCTGGGTGCTGGGCATGGTGGTGGCTCCAGCCCCAGATCCGTCCTGGAAATCTCAGGGGATGGAAGCGAGCAGGAACGTGCAAACGAGTCTGGTGAGGACTCTCACGGGGGTTACAATTTGCTCAGCAATGCTGGGTACCCAGCATGCTGACAAGAGCGTTTTCCACAAAAGCAAGTATTTTTTTTTCCCCCCAAAGTGTTGTCCCCTCTACAGAAAACTCCCCTCGAGCAGTTTTAGCAAGGTGCTGGAGTGGGCAGGAGAGGGGCTGGGGGGTAGCCTGCAGTGGACAAGTTAATCCTGAGGTAATTACACCCGGATTAATCCTGTGATACACCCAGGACTGCTGCACCCCGAAGAACACTGTGGGAGCCGGCTGTATTTTGGAAAACAAGGCCATTTCTGTAGGTGTGTGACTGTACTGACCCACATTCACAAACCTTGGCATCAGCCACCGCTCCGAGCTCCTCTGCTGCCAAAGTAAATCCACCCAAGTCCTCCCAGCTCCCGGCTGTGTCTCGGGCTCCTTAGGGGGAGCAGGGCCTGTTCCCCATCACCCCCAGGTCTGCTGCTCCCCCTGAACCCCGTAACTCCCCACTGCCTGGGCTGGGGGTGGTGTGGAAGAGGGGGGCAAAGATTAAAACCTCCCTGGCCTTCCCGACTCCAGCGAGGATTTAGTTCTAAAGCCTCGACTTTGCAGTTCAAAGAGGGTTTTGCAACATTCCCGGCATTTATCCCTCGGCAAACCCTGTGCAGTTTTGAAAGAAAAATAAATAAATAAGAGAAAATGCATGCAATCCGAAAACAAAAAAAAAAAAAAAAAAAAAATCCAACCCCAAGCCGCAGCATGCGGTTAACCTGCCATGAATGGGACTGTAGATTTCGGCTGTGTCTCAGCACAGAGCCCGGCTGTGCAGACTGAGCCGTGTTTGCTTAGGGTCCAAGCCATAACCCCCTGATCTGTCTAGTATAATTACCAGTCGCTGGGCGCACACAAAATCTCTAAACAAAATAACCTTCTCAAACCCTTCTGTGCGAAGCAGGCGGAGGGGGAGGAGAGGCGCTGCCTCACTGGGTTCGCAGTGAATGACCCCACTGTTTTAGATTTTCTGCTAAAAGATTTTGATGAGTCACGAGCTATTTCTGTAAATAATAAAAAAAAAAAAAAAAAGGAAATGGACATTAAAAAAAAAAAGGGGGGGGGGGGGCCCGTGAACATTCATCTTTTTGAAGATGGAAAAAATTAAAGACTTCCCCCCTCCCCTCCGTGACACGCTCGGTCCCCGGGGGGGAGTTGTGTGCAAGTGCTGTTTTTAGGGGGGGGCAGAGGCACATGGGCAGGGGTGGGAGCATCGTGCCGTGCACGTTGGAGCAGCTCCACTACTGCCACCCCCCCACGGCTGCTGGGGACCACGGCTCGGGGGGGCTCGATGGCACACCCCCCCCCCCCCCCAGTGCTGGGGGGTGAGCTGGCCATGTCCCAGCCGGGCAGGGGACTGAGCATCACCACGGCCTTTTGCGAGGAGGGA